CAACTCAAAAAAAAAAAAAAAAAAGAATGTCCACGGATCCTTGCAGCAGCGACGTGCTCGTTTGGTGTGGACCCGTGCTGGGTGACGAAAGGAGACTTAGAGCCTGTCGTCCCAGCACTTTGGGAGGCCGAGGTGGGAAGAATGCTTGTGCCTAGGAGTTTGAAACCAGCTTGGGCAACATAGTGAGACCTCGTCTCCACAAAAAAATTAAAATAACTAGCCAGGCATGATGGTGGCACCTGTAGTCCCAGCTACTTAGGAGTCTGAGGCGGAAGGATCGCCGGAGCCCAGGAGATCGAGGCTGTGATGAATCGTGATTGTGCCACTACACTCCAGCCGGGGGGACAGAGTGAGACCCTGACTCAAAAAAAATGAAGGAAAGCTGAGAGATGCTCATTCTGAAGCTGAGGGCCTGGCTACCTCAAGGCAGGGTATCTCGATCTGGTCCTCATGACGCCTGGGGCTGGGATGTCGTCTAGGACGGGACCATCCCGAGCACTGCTGAGCGGAGCCTCCGCCCACTGGATGCCAGGAACGACCCCCTCCCCTGTCGTGACAACCAAACACATCCCCAGACTTTGTCCCTGGCAGCTCTAGCGGGAAGGGGACCAGGGGGCTGGCAGGGCAGGGGGATCACGCAGTCTGCGTCTCTGTTCCATTTCCACCCGGATGCTGGTGACATGCATGGGCGCTCTGGGGCCTCTGCATTCTCGGAAAGAAGGTTCCATAGCGGGACAGGCTAGGGAGGTGCCGGGGAGCTGACACTTTGCGAACGTCCTCAGGGGGCTGGTTCCAGCCCTCCTTGGGTTCCCTTTGGCCCTGGGGCCACTATGCCCCCTGGATCACCCTTGCCTGGGCCCTCTCTGCTGGAAACAACCTTCTCCAGCCTCCCAGAATTGGCAGAGCAGATGCTGACCTCCCTGGGGACACCCCCCTCCCCGCCTGGCTGGTGGAGGCCTCTGGGGACACCAGGCTGCGGGAAGCCACCGAGCCCCAGGAGGCCTGCACTGGTACCAGATTCCCTCGGGAGCCACGTGCTAATTATTCCCCTCCACATCCCCCACGTGGTCCCCAGGACCCTGTCAGGCCCAGGAAGGAACGCGCGTGGGGCCTGCCTGTGCCACCAGGGCCTGACCTACTTAGCCCGGGAGGCTGGTGGCTCTGGGCTGGGAGGAGCCTGAAGGGAGCTGGGGACACAGGTGCCCGCCAGCCCACAGACAAGAACAACCACTGCCCGCCGGTTCCTTGGTTTCCCCATCTTAACTACTAGCACGCACTCATGGAGCCAGGCACCCCCAGCTTCAGCATACAGGAGGTGCTCACTAAATGCAGATGGTGGAGGGAAGCCGTGAGACCTCTGGGGAGCACAGGGCTGAAATTCTGTGTCAAGGACCACCCCCTCACCCTGCTGAGGCTCAGTTTCCCCTTATGTCATGTGGGATACCTGGAAGGGGTGGGAGGGGCAAATGAGATGCCAAGTGCCTGGGGCTATGCCTGGAACACAGCAAGTGCTCAATGAACGGGCACTGCTAGCTGGAGCCCTCGGCCCCAGGGGGCTCGCAGTCCAGAGAGAGAGGTGGTTATTTTTTTTTTCCTTTGAGTTGGGGCCTCACTTTGTTGCCCAGGCTGCAGGGGAGTGGCGCAATCGTAGCTCACTGCCGCCTCAACCTCCTGGGTTCGAGTGATCCTGCCTCAGCCTCCCAAGTGGCTGGGATTACAGGTGCCACCACATCTGGCTAATTAAAAAAATTTTTTTAGCCGAGCTTGGTGGCTCAGCCTGTAATCCCACGCCTTTGGGAGGCTGAGGTGAGTGGATTGCCTGAGCCTGCGGGTTCGAGACCCGCCTGGGCAGCAGCGAGACCTCATCTCAACAATGAAATCACAAAATCAGCCGGGCGTGGTAGCGCATGCCTGTAATTTCGGCTACTGGGAAGGCTGAGGCGGAAGGATCCCCGGAGCCCAGCAGGTCGAGGCTGCGGTGGCCGGGAGCGGCCACTGCACTCCAGTCTGGGTGACAGAGTGAGACTCCAACTCAAAAAAAAATTTTTTTTTTGTAAAGACGAGGTCTTGCTGGGTTGCCCAGGTGGGTCTCGAACTCCTGGGCTCAAGAAATCCTCCAGTCTCGGCCTCCCAAAGTGCCGGGATGACACACGTGCACCACCACGCCTGGCCAGCCGCATGCCTGAGTCAGTCGCTTCTCTAAGCTTTGTGTCCCCATGGGAAAGTCGCCGTGGTGAGCCTGGCGGTCGAGGGACCACCCGAGAACCCTTGCCGCCTGGATACCACCACCCAATTCCACTCAGAGCCAGTCTCGCACCCCAGCAGATTTCAGACCCCGTCCCTCTGGCTCCCTTAGTCCTCACCAGGCTCACAGTCACCACCTCAAGGGACAATTGGCTCCCAAGGAACTAGAGCTCACCCCCAACCAGCAGCCATGGACTACGCCTAGTGGTGCCCCAATATCTCTTCACGGTCACGAGGAGTTGTTTTTTTCTCTTTAGAGACATGTCTTGCTATATTGCCCAAGCTGGTCTCCAGCTCCTGGGCTCAAGTGATCCTTCTGCTCAGCCTCCCCGAGTGCTGGGATGTCGGGTGTCAGCCCCTGCGCCCGGCCACGACGAGCTTCATAGGATGCCGGAGCCAGCGGCCTGGGGCGGGGAGCCAAACTGGGCGGGAGAGGGTCTGGGGAGGCGGTCGTGGGCTGTGGGACTCACGTTGTTCCGTGGCGCGTTGGGCTGCACGGGGTCCTCGGCTGCCAGGGCAATGCTGCTCATGGCGATGACCATGAGAATGCACATCTCAAAGTAGCGCAGGTTCAGGATGTAATGGCACAGGCGGCGAAGGCTGTTGGGGACAGGCGTACAGAGGTCCACTCAGACCACGGGCTCACAGGTTCTTTTGTTCTATCATCCCTGGGTGTCACCTACCACAACCCAACATCTCCAATGCCCAAGGCCCCACATTCAGTGGAGGATTGAGCTCCTTCCACTGGGGGCCACCTCTGGGTCCTGTAACCCCAGGAAGGTGGGGTAGGGGAGACTCGGCTAGGGAAGACATTCACATGCCCTATCAAAGTTCCTATCACTCCCAAACTGTCCTCTCGAAACACCTTGATTCCCAAGCTGGGTTGAGGAAATACCTTCCTTAATTCTGTAGGACATTTAAAAAAAAAAAGGTTTTCCATGCATAAAACGTCCCAGGGTCAAATAAAATTGGGAATCGAGGGGTCAAGGAGATTCTATCTTTTTAAGTTAGCTATGTGACCTTGGGCAAGTGGTCACTTATCCCCTCTGTGTCTCAGTGCCTCATCTGTAAAGTGATCGTAATGCTAGGGCCTACCTCACAGGATTGGGAGCACCACGAGTTACTATAGGTCTAGAGCATGATAGGTGCTTCAAAAAGTTAGTTACTGATATGATGAGCTGCAGGACTTATCAGAGCCTTGATGTGCCAATAGGATGATATTTTACCTCTTCAATGGAGCTAATGATAAAAGGGTCATGAGGTTGTGTGGATGGCAGCAGAGTTGAGCAGTTAAGAACAGGAATGTAGCTGGGCTCGGTGGCTCAGCCTGTAATCTCGTGCCTTTGGGAGGCTGAGGTGAGTGGATTGCCTGAGCCCGCGGGTTCGAGAC